ACAAATGAACAGTAACCAGAGGGTAGGAGGGACGGTGATAATGGGGAAAAGAAGGTGAAGGGTCATCAAGGAACATGTATAAAGGAGCCATGGACAAAGCCAAAAGGGGCTACGATTGAGGGTAGGAGGTGGGGGTGGGTGGGGCAGGGGAAAGTGGTGGCAGCTAAGTGGAGACAACTGTACTTGAAAAACAATAACAAAAAGTATCTTTTTTAAAAAGAAGATCTTATTTGTTTATTTTTAGAGAGATGAGAAGTGAGGGAGAAAGAGAAGGACAGAAACATCAATGTTTGGTTGCCTCTCACATGCCCCGCACTGGAGACCTGGCCCACAACCCAGGCGTATGCCCCGCCTTTGGTTCACAGGCCAGCACTCAATCCATTGAGCCATACCAGCCAGGGCAAAACTAAAACAAAAACAAAACAAAACAAAAACCCTCTATGAAATTCCAATTTAATCTCATTAAAGGTCATTATACATCCTAATTTGTTTGCTTCTCTCTAGATATACTAGATGTTCCTATATTTGTCTAAACTCTTTGATTACCTTATGAATATTTCACTGTCATTTGAATCTGTTATTCACTATTAGGGAAAAATACCAAAACGGATAAAGCAATACATTAAAAAGTTCATACAACATGGCCAAGTGTCATTTATTATGGGGATGCAAAGCTGGTACAATACTATATTTGCAAATCAATAAATGTGACCCATCACACAAACAAATCACATGAACACACAAGTAGATGCATTCAATAAATTTCAGCAACCATTTATGATAAAAACTCTCAGCAAAGTGGGAGTAGAGAGATCATAGCTCAACACAGTAAAGGCCACATATGACAAACACACAGCCAACATAATACTTAATGGGCAAAGCTAAGTGTTTCTCTTAAGATCAGGAACAACATGGGATGTTTGCTTTCACCACTCCTACTACTCAACATAGTACTGCAAGTCTTAGTCACAACAATCAGACAAGAAGGAGAAGCAAATGGCTTTCAAATTAGAAAGAGGGAAGTAAGATTGTCTTTATTCACCGAGACATGATCATTTATGCAGAAAACCCTAAAGACCACACTAAAAAACTCCTGGATTTAAATTAAGAAATGAATTTAGTGAACTAGCAAGATAACAATGTAACATCTAAAATCATTGGCAATTTTATATACCAATAATAAACTCTCAGAAAGAAAAACTAAGAAAACAATCCCATATACCATTCCAGGAAAAAAAAAAAAGCTACCTAGGAATAAATTTAACCAAGGAGGTAAGAGACCTGTACTCATAAGGCTATAGGACACTGAAGAAAGAAGCAGAAAAAAGGCACACCAAGTGAAAGCATATACTGTGTTCATGAATTGAAAGAATTAACGTCATTAGAATGTCCATGCTATCACAGCAATTTATAGATTCAGTGTTATTCTTATTAAAATATCAATGGCCTGTTTCACAGATCTCAAACAAATATTGCAAAAACCTACATGGAAATGCAAAAGACCACAGATAGCCTCAGAAATGTTGAGAAAGAAGAACAAAATTGGAGAGATCACAATACCTAATATCAAACTATACTACAAAACCACTGTAATCAAACCAGCCTGGTACTGGCACAAGAACAAGCATATAGACCAATGGAACAGAATAGAGAGCCCAGAAATCAACCCACATCTTTATAGTCAATTAATATTTCAGAAAGGAGGCAATGACATATGATGGAGTAAACATAGTCTCTTCAAAAAATGATGTTGGGGAAAATTGGACTCGTACATGCAAAAACAATGAAAATAGACTACCATCTTGCATCATACACATGAATAAACTCAAAATGGATGAAAGACTCAAATGTAAGTCACAAAACCATAAAATTCATAGAAGAAACCATAGGCACTATAGTCTCAGACATCTCGCATAGCAATATGTTTGCCAATGTATTTCCTAGGGCAAGAGAAACAAAAGAGAAAATAAAGAAATGGACTACATCAAACTAAATAGCGTCTGCACAGCAAAGGAAACCATCAACAAAATAAAAAGGAAATCCACTGTGTGGGAGAACATATGTGCCAGTGATATATCAGATAAGGAGTTAATTTTCAAAATATATGAAGAACATATACAACTCAACACAAGGAAGAAAATTAATCCAATTAAAACTTGGGCAAAGGATCTAAATAGACACTTCTCCAAAGAGGACATACAAATGGCCAGTAGACATGTGAAACAATGCTCAATGTCACTAATCACCAGAGAGATGAACATTAAAACTACTATGAGCTATCACCTCACAATTGCCAGAATGGCTACCTTTAATAAATCAACAAACAACAAATACTGGCGAGGATGTGGATAAAATGAAGCCTGTGTGCAATGCTGGTGGGAATGCCGCTGTGGAAATCTGTTTGGAATTTCTTCAAAAAATGAAAACATAATTTCTGTTTGATTCAGCAATCCCACTTTTGGGAATATATCCTAAGAATCCAAATACATCAATCAGAAAGAATATATACACCTCTATGTTCATAGCAGTGTTGCTTATAATAGCCAACATCTGGACAAAGCCCAGGTGCCCATCAGTAGATGAGTGGATAAAAAAGATGCAATATATTTACAAAATGGAATGCTACATGGCTGTAAAAAAGGAAGAACTCTTACCCTCTGCGACAACATAGATGGACATGGAGATTATTACATAAGGAAAATAAGTCATTCGGAGAAAGGCAAATACCATATGATCTCACTTAAATGTGGAATCTAATGAACAAAATAAAACCAGAGGCATGAATACATGGAACAGATTGACAAATCTCAGAGGGGAGGGGGGTGAAGGAAACTGGAAGAGATTAACCAGATAACACATATGCACATGTGCATAGCTCATGGGCACAGACAACAATATGGTGAAGGCTGGTGGAGTTGGGTGAAAGGGAGCAAAAAGGGGGGGGAAGAGGGGAACATCTGTAATAGTGTCAACAAATATAAAAAGACCGTCAGCTGATTGGCCAACAAAAACTTTGCAGGCTGGAAGGGATTGGCATAAAATATTCAAAGTGACCAAAACCAAGGACCTACAGCCAAGATTACATCACCAAGCAAAGCTATCATTTTAGCATTGGAGAGCTTTCAAGGCAAGAGAAACCAAAGGATTTCATTACGCCAAAACCAGTATTATATGGAAGGTAGACAGCTTTCTTTGAGAAGAAGAGGAAAAAAGATGAAAATATAAACAATAAAGTGGCAATAAATACATACCTATCAACAATTGAATCTAAAAAACAAAATAAACAGGCAGAACAGAAAGATACTCAAAATACAGAGGACATTTTGACAGTTGTCAGGTGGCTGCGGGTTTGGAAGGGGAATGGGTGAAAAAAAAGTGAAGGGATTAAGAAGTACGAATTGGTTGTTACAGAATAGTCATGGGGCTGTAAAGTACAACATAGGAATCACTGTCAATAATATTCTAAAAACTGTGTATGGTGTCAGATGTGTGAGATTTATTGGGATGATCACTTAGTGAGTTATGTAACGTCTAATCACTGAGGATACACCTGAAACTAATATAATAACATATGTCAACTGTAACTGAAATAACTGATTTTTAAAAATAAAATATTCTTCAGTAAATGAATCCAAATGTATTCTGTCTGTGAGAGATCTGCTTCCGACTGAAACACAGATACACATACTGAAAGTAAAGAGATGAAAGAAGATATTTCACACAAATGAAAAAAAAAATAAAGAAAGCTAGAGTAGCAATACTTATTTCAGACAAAATAGACTTTAAAACAGAGATTACAATAAGAGAAAAAGATAATGACAAAGGGAGTAATCTAACAAGAGGATATAAGATAAGCCTTGTAAACATTTATTCACTCAACATAACAGCATCTAGATATACAAAGCAAATATAGATGGATGTAAAGGAAGAGACTGACAGTAATACTGTCAGAGTAGGGGACTTTAAAAGCCCAGTGACATCAATGGATAAATCTTCCAGACAGAGAATCAACAAGGAAGCAGCAGCCTTAAATGACACACTACAGCAGATGGATTTAATCGACATTTTCAGACCATTTTATCCCAAGGCAGCAGAATATACATTCTTTCAAGTGCACATGGAACATTTTATTTGTAGAAGACATGATACTGTATATATAGAACCCTAAAGTCTCCACCAGAAAACTACTAGGGCTGATAAATAAATTCAGTAAAGTAGCAGGGTACAAAGTAAATACCCAGAAATTAGTTGCCTTTGTATACACCAATAATGAACTATCAGAAGAGGAAATGAAGCAAACAATTCCATTTACAATGCTTCAAAAAATGCCTTGGAATAAATTTAACCAAGAATCTAAAACTCTTGCACTCAGAAAACTATAAGTCACCGAGTAACTGAAAAAGATCCAAATAACCGAAAGCATATGCCATATTTATGGACGGGAAGAAATAGCATCCTTTAAATGTCCATACTACCCAAAGCAATCTATAGATTCTAGGCAATTTCTATCAAAACACCAATGTTGTATTTCATAGAACTAGAATAAATATCACCCAAATGTATGTGAAACCAGAAAAGAACCTGAATAGCTGCAGTAATATTGAGAAAAAGGATGGAGGAATCACACTACATAATATCAAAATATAGTACAAGGCCATAATAATCCAAACAGCATGGTACTGGTATGAAAACAGACATATAGATCAAAGGAACAGAATAGAGGGCCCAGAAATAAACCCATGCCTTTATGGTCAATTAATATCTGGGAAAGGAGGCAAGAACATACAATGGAATCATGACACATAGTCTATTAAAAAATGGTGTTGGGAAAATTAAACAGATAAGTGCAAAAAAGTATAGTCCACCTCCTTGCACTATACACAATACACACAAAATGGATTAAAGAATTAAATGTCAAACTCAAAACCTTAAAAATCAGGCGCGTATGGCGGCGATACAGTTTGCTACTAAAGTTCGGTCTCGGTGGCCCTTCGCGAGCCATGGAGAGTGACTTTTATTTGCCTTACTACGTGGGTCACAACGGCAAGTTCGGCCACGAATTCCTGGAAGTTGAGTTCCGACCAGATGGGAAATTGCGATATGCCAACAACAGCAATTATAAAAATGATGTCATGATCAGAAAAGAGGCTTACGTACATAAAAGTGTGATGGAGGAACTGAAGAGAATAATTGATGACAGTGAAATTACCAAAGAGGATGACGCTTTGTGGCCTCCTCCTGACCGAGTGGGCCAGCAGGAGCTTGAAATTGTCATTGGAGATGAACACATTTCTTTCACAACATCAAAAATTGGTTCCCTTGTTGATGTCAATCAATCCAAGGACCCAGAAGGCTTATGAGTATTTTATTATCTTGTCCAGGACCTGAAGTGTTTGGTCTTCAGTCTTATTGGATTACACTTCAAGATTAAACCAATCTAGGTTGAATGCTGGTGTGGACCCAAGGGGGTGGGTGGAGCTGTTTTTTTCATTACCATTGTCAGGACATTTTTGAGTATATGAAGCCAATATTTTTTATAAACTATAAATGATGTCTCTAATAAATATGTAACAAAAAGCAATTAAAAAACCTAAAAAAATCATAGAAGAAAACATAGGAAGTAAAATCTCAGACATTTCTCACAGCAATACTTTTTTTCTGATATATCTCCTGGGCAAGGGAGACCATAAAAAAATAGACTAATGGAACTACATCAAACCAAAAAGTTTTTACATAGCAAAGGAAACCATCAGCTACATGAAAACACAACACGCCAAATGGGAGAATATATTTGCTGATACATCTGTTAAAGAGTTAATATCCAAAATCTATAAAGAACTTAACAAAACTCAACGCTAAAACAAAATCCAATTTAAAAATATGCAAAGGACATGAATAGACACCTATCCAAAGAGGACATAGGGATGGCTAACAAACACATGAAAAGATGCTCAAGGTCATTAATCATCAGAGAAATGCAAATTAAAATCACAACGAAATATCACCTCACACCTGTCAGAATGGCTATCTTCAATAAATCAACAGCAACTGTTGGCAGGAATGTGAAGAAGCCAACACTGGCTGGTGTGGCTCAGTGGATTGAGCACTGGCCTGCAAACCAAAGGGTCGCCGGTTTGATTCCCAGTTAGGGCACATGCCTGGGTTGTGGACCAGGTCCCCAGTGGGGAGCATGCAAGAGGTAACCTCAAATTGATGTCTCTCTCTCTCTCTTCTCTCCCTTCCCCTCTGTCTGAAAACTAAATAAATAAAATCTTTTTTTCTTTTTTTAAAAGATTTTATTTATTTATTTTTAGAGAGGGAAGGGAGGGAGAAAGAGAGAGAGAGAGAGAGAAACATCAATGTGTGGTTGCTCGGGGTCATGGGCTGCAACCTAGGTATGTACCCTGACTGGGAATCGAACCTGTGACACTTTGGTTCACAGCCCACGCTCAATCCACTGAGCTACACCAGCCAGGGCTAAATAAATAAAATCTTTAAAAAAAAAGAAAGAATGTGAAGAAAGGGAACCCTCATGCACTGTTGGTGGGAATGCAGATTGGTACAGCCACTGTGGAAAGCAGTATGGAGTTAACCCCAGATATTAAAAATGGAACTGACTTATGACCCAGCTATTTCACTTCTGAGTATGTATCCAAAGAAACTCAAAACACTAATTCAAAAGACTACATGCATACCTATGTTCATTGCAGCATTATTACAATAGCCAAGATTTGGAAGCAACCCAAGTGCCCATCAGTAGATGACTGGGTAAAACAACTATGGTACATTTACACAACTGAATACTACTCAGCTGTTAAAAAAAAAAAAGAGGAAAATTTTACCTTCTGCTTGCTACAACATGGGTGGACCTGAGGAATGTTATGCTAAGTCAAATAAGGCAGCTAGAGAAAGACAAATACTATACTATCTCACTTATATGTGAAATCTAATGAACAAAATAAACAAAAGAGAAACAAACTCATAGCTGTCAGAGGAAAGGGGTTAGGGGTTTCGGGCTGAAAAAATGTGAAGGGATTAAGCCAAAAAAAATGTATGGAAGTTTACAAATTAATTGCTAATATTTTTTTAACAGTTCTGAAAAACATCCTGGAAATTCATAAGTCACCACTCCATCCTAACAACAAGTAAAATGCTGAGCAGACTGGCAAATCAACATTTCTTCTTGGGCTCATATGAGATGAGAGAGAGCTCTTCTCGGGTAGCTCAGTAGGTTAGAACATTGTCCAGGTATGCCAGGGTTTGGGGCTGGTTAGGTCACAAATGAGAATCAACCAATGAGAATCAAGCAAATGAGTGAAAAAACAAATCGATGTCCCCTCACTCTTCCTCCCTTCCTCCTTTTCTCTCCCTGTAAAATGAAAAAAGAAAAACAGAAAAGAAAAGAGATGGAGTATACAGGGCCAACTGCGGCTTACAAGAGCAGGGACAAGCAGAAACCACTGCAGGACCCAGAGCTGGGATAGAAAATTCATCAATTAGATGAATTGCAGACAACTCGGAGTCATCTCAAAGTAGACACCTCTGAGAGTAAAAAGTTCCTGGAAACCCAATCATGGTGGGGGTGGGAGACACAATATTGTAAGATTTACCAACAGGAGATTCCCATAATAAGTGTCTGAGAAAATTCCCCTCCGGCTTCTGGAGGGAGGAAGGGAGAAGGAACCATTTTGAAATATGCTAGAGGTGCTACTCTTCTTGACAAGACCTGCCCTCAAGGGGAAACTAATTAACCAAATCCTAATCTGCTGGGTTATTATTAGAGTCTAACTGATTTTGGGAAGCAAAATATTCAACTCTGTCTCTAGCATCTCTTCCAACCTAAGGGGGGCAGGGAGAAAACCTGAAACACTTGTGAAGTGCACAGTCCAGAGGCATAGGCTCAGTAAAAGACTGAGACCTAACCATAGAACCATAGAATGCTTCCACTCCCCCAAACCTCACCACTACATCACTGAATTACCACAGTTCATTATGGTACATTATGTTTGGCTATCAAGAAAAAAAAATTACAGAGTGATGGCTCCAAGACAGCAGTACAGGAGACCCTGGAAATCCATCCTCCTACAAAGATCAATGGCAAGACAGCTCTCCATAACAGAAACAGCTCTGAGAGTACACATATGCCACTGAAGAAACTTCAGCAGCACATCAGAACAGAAAAACTGGACAGTAACCACACAAAAAGAGAAGGAAGACCACTCATGCACCTCCTACCCCATGTATCACCCCTCCCCCCACTGCTCAGCCCCATATTGCTCAGCACTGAGAGGGAACTCTCCAGCTAACAAGAGTCCCCCTTGCTGAGAAAGAACAGTTTGAAAGACAAAGTCAAAAAAGAATATAACAAGGTCTCCTTAATATACAAGAAAATGCTCAGTTCAACTCAGATGCAGCAGCTATCAAAGTGGCCAGCACCAACTATATTTAAATCAATATAATCACCACAAATGTGTCAAAATTTTAAATTACTTATAAAGAGACACAATGATTTCCACAAAAGCTGTTAGACTTGGTTAGAATGATGGGTTAGCAGAATGAGTAAAACCTCTTTAAATTTCTGATGTTTGAATCAACGCCAGAGCTATCAATAAAAATAGTGGTGAAGCAGAAAGCATATGCAAAGTTATATTTCTTTTTGGCTTAAAAGAACTTGTATTTATTTTCTTATAGTTCTAGGGGTCAGGAGTCTAAAATGGATGGGCAGGGCTTTATTCCTTCTGGAGCCTCTAGAGGAGAATCCATTTCTTTGTCTTTTCCATTTTTTAGAGGTCACCTGCATCCTGCTGTGGTTCTTTCATTCTCAGATAAACCTCTCTCTCACCTCTGTCTTCTGTCACATCTTCTCATCCTCTTGCCTTCCACTTTCACTCATAAGAACCCTTTGTGTTTACTCTGGCCTTGCCTGGAGAATCCAAGAGATCTCCCATTTCTCATTCCTTAGAAGTTATATTTATTGACACATAAAACCAGTAAAAATAACCATGATAAGGAACTACTTAAATTCATGATTAAAAGTAAAGAAAATAAATGGGCTGTCTTACATTTAAAGTGTGTGGATCAGTGATCAGAAAATGTGAGTGGATTAAGTGCTCTCACTCAGAGGCAGGTAATTTCATATTGTCAAGCAACCAACACTTAGAAATATAATGTTTATAACTGTAAAACAAATGAGTAAGAAATATGTGACTAGATAGACAAAACTAGGTCTCAGGAATGAGAAAGGATGCTGGCCTGGAACATATTGGAAAATGCAATGAGTCAAGAAAATGGAATAACTGGTACACAATCAATAAAAAGAGGAGAAAAGGCCTTTTTTTGTATGATTATTCACCTGGAGAATTCAAGAGAGTGTGGTGAAAAGCACACTAAGTCACTGGACCCACATGAGTTACCTGAGCTGGTGTGCTCACCACCTTCCACACTGTAGAGCACAGCCTAACCACCATACTTAGAGCACAACTGGCTGCACAGTAGGACTCAAAAAATACCTCTTGAAACCTAAATAAAGCCACTACTTTATGTAATAAGGAGTGATCCACTATGAAGATGTAATAATTCTGAACCCAAGTGCACCTCAAATTACACATATGCCTTAAAATAGAGCAAAAGTGGACAGAACCACCAGATAACACAGATACCTCCCCACTGGCAGTGGAGATCTTTGCAGGCACCTGTCACAGTACATGAGAGAACATGCTTCAACATGCTTCCTAACTGGGAAGGCTAGAAGGGGAGACAGGCAGGTGAGTCCGCCACAGCCCAGGGCAGGTTTGCAGGACCCATCTCAGCAGGCTCCAGCCAGACTGGGAATTGACTGTGGGCTCAGAGGAGGAGGAGAATGAAGAGCAAAGCCCAGTCTCCCTGACCTCAGATAGGGGGCAAGGAACATCCAAAACCTTGGAACCTACAGGGGATGTGTGAGTTCCTCATCCTCTGTCTTCACCTACAAGAGCTCATGGCCCTCATGGGACCCCTCGCCCCTTCTCAAACCCAGCTTCTTATTTCTACTTTTCTTCCTGCTTTCTTCTTTGTTTCTCCCCCCCCTTCTTTGATTTCCCTTTTCACCTTCCTCTGACTGCTCCACTGGCCTTCATATGGAAATAAGGTACATGCCAATCAGTAAGCTGATAGTAATAGCAAATGATACAAATAATGCATGTTCAGAATAAGGGATAGACTAAATCAGTTATGGGACATTATTCAGCCATTACAGGTGGAAAGATCCATTTTACATGATGGGGAACGAGGGAGGGGTCAGACATCAGAGCAGTAAGCAAATGAATAAGACTATTTCCAGTATTCGTGAGTGCTAATAGAATATAAAATGGGGTGGCAGGCTAGACATTGATTGGCAAAGGAGGGTAGGATAAAAACTACCTGAGACAGGTGTATCTTGCAGGCAGGTGACACTCCATTTGCCCCTGATTCAACTCTACACATTTCCTGCCCAAGCC